TTAATACCACTTTAAGGCTAATATACTCTATTTGAAATGAATATCTCATTAGGATGACATGGCTAAAATATAAATAAAATTTATTACAATTTATAGAAGAAAAAAAAGAATAACAATACATTAACTGAAAAAAAAATTACACAATGATCTAAAATTGAATAAAGACGGAAGTAGTTAAAATAAAACAAACATACATACTCACCTTGATGCCACAGCTGTACCCTGCCAGCTCTAAGACTGAGAACTGAGCAATTATATGACAAATGATCACACAGTTCTCGGTCTGCTTAGAGAGAAGAGTGGTGATTGTCTCGCATATCCAGTGAGCAGTGGAGAGGCCAGGAGCAGCTGGATTTGGCTCTCAACTGCAGGCTGAGTGGCTAAGCCAGATGCCAATCAGGCACCTTGGTGGGTCTTGACAATATTGTCAGAATCCTTCCAGAGCCTGGAGCGGATCAGTGATTTTAGCTGACAGCAGACTTTAGTATGCTGTCAGCTGATTCTAGATCACAGGAAGAGATGTTTGGCCAAAAAAGCTTTGCCCATACTTCTTTTTAAAGCATTAACAGTATCACCCTAATAGCTCAAAGGAGAGCTAGACCACTCAGTAGAAGATCTGGAGCCATGCCCTAAGTAACTGGTTCTAGCAAAGCCCCTGTTCTTAATACAGCTAAAGAAACTAAGCAACACTTTATGAGAAGAATGTACTATAAGCAGGGCTTTTTTTCTCAGAGGAAAGGTGGTGGAACTCCCCCACCCAAACCTGGCCACGCCCCCATCAAACCCTAGGACCACCCCTTTAGAGAACAGGAATGCAAGTAAAATTTGGGAGGGGCTTCCGATGACATCATTTCCCGTACATACCATATAAGGGAAATGATGTCATCGGACCCCCGGCTGCCTCTTGCATGATCTGCATGAAACACATGCATAGATATAAAATGACTAATGTACTGACACCAGAAACACATGCATAGATATAAAATGACTAATGTACTGACACCAGAAACACATGCATAGATATAAAATGAATACCGTACTGACACCAGAAACACACGCATAGATATAAAATCAGTACCGTACTGACACCAGAAACACATGCATAGATATAAAATGACTAATGTACTGACACCAGAAACACATGCATAGATATAAAATCAGTACCGTACTGACACCAGAAACACACGCATAGATATAAAATCAGTACCGTACTGACACCAGAAACACATGCATAGATATAAAATCAGTACCGTACTGACACCAGAAACACACGCATAGATATAAAATCAGTACCGTACTGACACCAGGAACACATGCATAGATATAAAATCATGGCAGGCCGTTTGTAAACGTCCAGCATAGATATAAAATCAGTCTAGCATGCATGTGTACCCTGTCTGGTAGATGTGCCTGCTCCTACAGGCTCCCCTAGGGTTGCCACCTTTTCCTCCAAAAAATACCGTCCATCACTGAATTTATCTTTCCTGTTCCTCATGCACAGGAGGGGCGCTCTCGATCGGCGCCGCTGAGCGCTGAGCAATTGCGTTCTGAAATAGTTTAGGTGGGCTCAGGTGGGTGAGGATAGTTTAGGTGGGCTCAGATAGTTTAGGTGGGCACAGGTGGTTGGGATAGTTTAGGTGGGCACAGGCTGGGGAGAGAGAGTAAAAATTTAGAGCAATACATGATACTGCAGTCAGTGACAGGGAGCCGAGCGCAGCTTACCTACTCCAAGCTGTACGGCCCCTGCGTCCACGCTGTCACTGCCGTTGATGTCGCCGCGCCGCCCCCGATGTTTACACGCCGGCGGGGGGGGGGCGGTGAAGCGTGCATAGTGTCCTCGCCCATCGTCCGCGCCCCCGATGTTTACACGCTGGCGGTAGAGGGGGGGGGGGTGAAGCGTGCATGTCCCCGCTCACCGGCTGTGAGCAGCGGCAGTGACAGGTGCCGGGCACGCGCAAGCATGACATAAACAAGCCGCGTCCGGCACCTGTCACTTTCGCTGCTCTGCATAGCTTGTCAGCTCTGCAGAGGCAGTCGGTGAGCGGGGACAAGAAGAAAAAGGTGGCGGAACGCAGTACCGCCGCGTTCCGGCAGAAAGAAAGCCCTGACTATAAGATTGCAGACTGATTTACAATTATTTATATCTGATTCTCAGAATAACTGCACCAACATGGAAAATGACCACTTTTCACAGTAAAGTTTTGTGTTCCTCCACAGGTATCATGATCACATGAAAAAGATGGACTAATCAAAGTATGTATTGCTTTCTTAGTGCATTACCATTGGCTATATTGTAACATGCATTTTCCAGAAAACTCGAGAAATATGCAAGTAAGATCTTTCAAATGCATGCCATACTGTACTGTTCTTGTTATGCAATGGACTCAAAACCAGTTTCAAGGCAAAAATCCAAATTCTTGAGCTTTTGAATAAAAATGCAAACACGTAGTTTCCCTAAATGATTACAGCATGCCAAAAAGGACCAATAGATGCAGAGATATACTGTAAGCAGGTGAAGCTAAATGTATACATTGAGCCAGACCCGAAACCCACTGAACTCAAGGCAACAGAATCTGTCCAATTAAAAATACCCACTTATGTTTGGACCGAACACTAAGCTCATCCCTACTTCCTGTAGCTCAATGAAGCTGCCCATCACATGAAAGGACCTACAGGGAGAAGTTGGGACCAAGCTTGACTTTTAGGTCCAATTCACACTTGAGCGATTTGTAGCTCAAAGCTCCAAAAAAAACGATTATTCACAATGGAGATGGTTCACATCTCCACTCCAAGTCCCCTAAAGCTAAACGCCAGAAGCTCAAACAAGTTCTGGAGCTTTTTTTTTTTTTGCTCAAATCAGGGAAGATTTGAATGTTTTAGCGTTTTTATTTCCATGGAAATGAGCGGAACACAAAATTTTCTTTTTTTATGTGCGTTTTTCTGCTCAAATGGAAAAATGTAAATAAATAAATTGTAATTATATATGAATAAACTAAAAGTAAAATAAAATGCACAAATAAAAATAATCCTAAATAATAAATTAACCGCTACCCGCGCCGCCATTTGCGAACGCGGCTGTCAACCACCGGGTCCCGGCCGGTGATTACCCGCCTCCGCCTGGTTATTACCAACAATCATCGAGAGGGAAAAGGGCTGCTTTGTTTACTAACAGCCCTCCTCCCTGTCGGCTTGGTAACACTGCTCTGGATGCCTCTTTTTAAATTCCTTGGGATGTCTACTTTCCAAAAAGGGGTCATGGGGGGGTGTTGGTGCTGTCCTTCACTTCAGGGCCTCCGAAACTGTGATAGGTAGTGAGGAAGTGAAATGAGGAAGTTACGCACCTTCAGGCTTTCAAAGTGGTCATTGGATTTCAGGCTCCTGTATGTGGCTAGGCTCCCAAAAGGTCTCACACATGTGGTATCCCCATACTCGGAAGAAGTAGCAGAATGTATTTTGGGGTGTAATTCCAATTATACCCATGGCTTGTGTGAGCAATATATCATTTAAATGACAACTTTGTGTACAAAAAAAAAAATGTTTTTGTTATTTTCCAAAATCTTGTGGAAAAAAAATAAATCTTCCATCGACTCAATATGCCTCTCAGCAGATAGCTTACTGTGTCTGCTTTCCGAAAAGGGGGCATTTGGGGGTGTTTGTACTGTCCTGGTATTTTAGCACCTCAAGAAATGTGATAAGCAGTCAGAAAGTAAAAAATTCCTTTATCTATACCATAGTTTGTAGACACTATAACTTTCACACAAAGCAATCAATGTACACATATTGGGATTTTATTTTACCAAAAACATTTAGCAGAATACATTTTAGCCTAAATTTATGATGAAATTTGAGTTTTTTTGAATATTCTTTAGAAAATATTGTTTGTTTTTTTCAAAATTTTTGGGTTTTTTGGTTAATAGCGCAAAAAATAAAAAGCGCGCAGGTGATCAAATACCACCGAAAGAAATCTCTATTTGTGTGAAAAAAGGGATATAGATTTCATTTATGTACCATATTGCATGATCGCGCAATTGTCCGTTAAACTAGCGCAGCGCTGTATAGCAAAAATGGCATAAATTGCAGTATCTATACCATAGTTTGTAGACACTATACCTTTCACACAAAGCAATCAATATACACTCATTGGGATTTTTTTTACTAAAAACATGTAGCAGAATACATTTTGGCCTAAATTTATGACTAACTTTAGTTTGCTACATATTTTTTATAGCTGAAAGTAAAAAATATAGTTTTTCTTCAAAATTGTCGGTCTTTTTTTGTTTATAGAGCGAAAAATAAAAAGCGTACAGGTGATCAAATACCACCAAAAGAAAGCTCTATTTGTGTGAAAAAAAGGACGTAATTTCATTTGGGTGCAGCATTGCATGACCGCGCAATTATCAGTTGAAATAGTGAGGTGCCGAATAGCAAAAAAGGCCTGGTCAGGAAGGGGGGTAAATCCTCAGGAGGGCAAGTGGTTAAATACATAAATAATATGTAATAATAAATAATATTTAGCCCCTAACCTTAATCCCCTAACCCTTAAAAAAAAAATTAAATAGATTATGAGTAATAATAATAAAAAAAATAAAGTAATAATAATAATAATAATAATAATAATAAACACCCAAATGAAAAAAAATATTTATTTATTTAGGGTTAGGGTGTTTATTAAATTATTATTAATAATATTATTTTTTTTAAGGGTTAGGGAGTTAAGGTTAAGAGAAGAAAAGGATCAGGGCTGCTCTTTGCAAAACCACCCACCGAGCAGGTAAGTACAAAATGTTTGTTATTTATTTAATTTTTCTGCTTGAAAAGTCCTGTTTTACATTTTGGACCAGGATGCTTCAGTTATGCCTTAATGTCATTTATCTGGATGTTATGTTGATCCAATGGCTTCCCTGACCTAGAACAACTATACAAATCAGTAGTTGTGACTTCACACTCACTTCACTAGCTTCAGGCACCAAGCATTTTCCAAAGGAGGGCAGCAGATACTAGTCTACATCAGTGTTCACTAAATGGCGGAACCGCGGTCCGGACCGAGGGACAGTCCTGTCCGGAGTGCAGCCACGCCACCACCGGGTGCCATCCTTTAAGATGACCAGGCCGCACAGTGGGAGGTAAGCGGTGGCCACTATGCCTAAAGCAGGGCCAACAGGAGGAGCGTTAGGAATCGCAGCTGACACTGACACTTCCTCGGCCAGCCGCTGCACTGAAGGGACAACAGTGCAGCGGCACACTGTGACAGGTCTGTAGCGGAGGTAGAAGGGGACTGTCTCTGCTGGATGGGCTGTCTCTTTGCTGGACGAGCTGTGTCTTTGCTGGGCGGCGATGTCTCTTTGCTGGGCGGCGATGTCTCTTTGCCCAGTTGGGTCCAGCAAAGAGATAGCCCAGTCCAAGAAGGGACATCCCTGTCAAGCAAAGAGACATCCTGTCTTTGCTATATATTTGCTGTGTTGTGTTAGGGGCACTGTATTGTGTTAGGGGCGCTGTGTTGTGTTAAGGGGCGCTGTGATGTAAAGGGGGGCAGTAAAGTGAAGAGAAAAAACACTGTGGGACTTCTTTAAAGAAGGGACTGTGATGTAGAGGGGACTACACTGTGAAAAGTACACTAAAGATGATAATGTACATGGGAACTGTGATGTGTTATATCGCTAACGAGATTTGGACCTCTGCTGGAAGATAATTTTGCTGTCCGGACCTCCATAAATTTTATTCAAGACCCCTGGTCTACATGTTTCTCTGAGTGTAGGTTTCCTTTAAATACAAAATACAGTATATATGCTATGCTAATCTTGTGATTAAACACTGACATCTACTGGGTGATTTAAATAAAAACAGGAAATATTGGTCTGCAAAGCATTTTCCCTTTCAAAAATTGCTACTGTCAACCTCTGGGGGAGATTTATTAAAACTGGAGAGTGCAAAAGCTGGTACATCTCTCCTTAGCAACCAATCAGCTTCCAGGTTTTATTGTCAAAGCTTAAGCGTACAAACTGAAGTTTTGCTGATTGGCTACCATGTACAACGGCACCAGATTCTGAGTGGTCCAGTTTTAGTAAATCTACCCCTCTAATTAGGGATGAGAATAATATTTGCTGCTACCATGGGTTTAGTGTGAATGCTGTGGGTTTGAGATTTACAGTCCAAACAAAATTATGTGCAAATTTGCTTAGCATCATAAGAAGTATCATAGCCTTTAAATATTAGCAGCCTTTTGGATAAAGTTGTCCCCTAAGTGGGGGCACGGAGCAGCCATATTGTTACTGTGTTAGGCTAGGTTCACACCTATGCAGTTTGTGTTTGATTCGTTTCTGCAGTGCGTTTTTGCACATGCGTTTTTGCCGCGTTTTGCAGTTTTTTTCTTGTTTAAAACGCAGGCAGATTAAATCACATATAGAACCAAAACCACAACCTTTTGACCTGTCCCATAGGAAATCATGTTAACTGAACTGCTGTGCGTTTCCGCAGAACACTGCAGAAAATGCATAGGTGTGAACCTACATTTAGAAGTTGCTGTAGGAAATGCATACGGAAAACTGACAAACTGCATAAGAGAGATGTGGGTCAGTTGGGAAACTGCACTTTAACTCTGATTGCTAGCTATTTAGGCAATCAACTCTTTTGCTGCCTTACTTTGTTCCTATCATTGGGGGCTTTATGTCTTTTCTTTGTCTGTTCATTTATTTATTTATTTATTTTGCTACAAGGCTTCCCTTTAAAACAAAAGTAGGCTTTTGTTTCAGTGGACAGTATTTTAGGGGTATAATGGTTTTAGTTTTATATTGGTAGGGCCTTTATTTTAGGTGAAACTGCTCTTTATGCGCAGAACATACATCCTTTAGGCCTGTTATTCCTGATTAAACTGCTACACTTAAAAGAGGAATAAAGTGTAGTAGTGCATTTTTTTGAGGTACACACTGATTGCCTAAGCTGTCTGTACTGAAGAACTGGAGATATTGTTGGTATGGGCTTGGGGTGCTGTAGATATTGGGGGTATGGTATGTGGTAATTGGGTTGTGGTGGATATTAGCTTTTTATTGGGGTGCAGTATATATTGGGGGCATGGACTTTATGTACCAGGTTCATGATATGTTGTGTGCAGTAGGGGTTGTTGTGTATTGGGTGAGAGATATTATGAGAAAAGAAAAAAATGTGCTGGTGTGCTGCTATAAACAAAAATCTCCCCCTTCTTAACTCAACTGTTGTGATTAATCATATAAAAACACAGTGGTTCACATCTGTGTGGGTGGCACCGCTGCGGATCCGCACGAAAATCCGTGCAGCTACAGCACCCGCAGGCGGGTGCCATTAGTTCTAATGGCACGCCGCACACACTTGAAAACACAACCGTACTGGGAACCGAGGTTCCCGTATAAGCTGCATTTTCCAAAGAAGTGGATGGACTTCTTCCCTGCGTGTCATGGGCACGGGAGTCCATTCAAATGAATGGGCTCTCGTGCTCGTGCAAAACGTGGCCCGCACAGCTGCATATATGTGAACCGGGGTAAAGAGCAAAGCTAAATTTTAGACAATAAAATCTTAATTAACAACAATTCAACTACAGGTGAGTCTAATTATTCATTAAACAGGTGTTCAGCAGATAGTTGATTAAGTAACTTAACAAAGAAAACCCCTTCCTATTTCATGCTGTCAGCAATGGCACCACATGGAAGAGAAATGTCACAAGGCCAGAGAACGAAAATAATTTCTTTCCACAACAAAGGTGAAGGCAACAAGAAGATCAGCAAAGCTTTACTTATCAGTCAGAATACTACAGCAAAAGGGATACAAAAATTGAACAAAGATGGAACTGCAACCATCTCACAGAGACATGATGGTATGGGGGTGCATTAGTGCTTATGGAACAGGTAGCATGCACACATGGAAGGCACCATAAATGTTGAAAAATATATCCAGGTTTCAGAGCAGCATATGCAGCTATACAGATGACATCTTTTTCAGGAAAGGCCTTCCATATTTCATGGCTTTGTAGTAAAAGAGTCCAGGAGCGTAGATAGCCTCACTGCAGTTCAAACCTTTCACTAATTGAAAATATTTGGCATTTCTTGAAACTAAAAATACTACAATCCAGGACTGTTAGGAGCAGTTAGAATCCTATATCGGGCAAGAATAGGACAACAGTCCTCTCCCAAAACTCCAGCAACTGCTCTCCTCAGCTCCCAACTGTATACAGAGGGGTTTATTTACTAAAACTGGAGAGTGTAAAATCTGGTGCAGCTCTTTGCATAGAAGCCAATCGGCTTCCAGGTTTTTTTTTTTTTGTCAAAGCTTAATTAAACAAGCTGAAGTTAGAAGCTGAATGGCTACTATGGACAGCTGCACCAGATTTTGCACTGTCCAGATTTAGTAAACCTACCTCAGAGTGTTGTTAACAGAAGAGGGGATACTGCACCATGGTAAACATTGCCCTGTCCCCAACTTTATTTTTGAGACAAGCTTGGCTCCTCCCCCTCTGAGTACCCCCTAGCAAGCTCTTTGCTAGGGGGGCACTCATGCAGGTTCAATCCTGAACTGCACTATTGACACACAGTGCAGCTTGGCTCATTCCAAGCTCCCTCGTCACTGGTTGTGAGTGTACTTTGCTGAGAGCTGGACTGCTGGGGATGGTGGGGGGCTCAGCTGCACCTAAAAGGTTTTTTACTTTAATACAAAATGCATGAAGATTAAAAACCTTTAGCCTTTACAACCCCTTTAAGGACGGAGTTGTGAAAATGTCCTGTTACTTGTGTCAGACAGAACAAAAATTGATTATTATCATCATTGATAATTGGAAGAAGGATCTTCAATTGTAATGTCTTCTAAACAACTTGTCAAAAACACAGTGGGAGTGATTGAATAACGCATTTGTGACATATTTCAGGTGGTGTTAGTGTTCACAGAAGCCAAACTCAGAAACCCTCAAGCTCACGTAGTTCTTATTTGTGACTCTAACTTTCGAAACCTGACAGATCTAGAGGAGATCTGTGTGGAGGAGTGGGCCAAAATCCCTGTTGCAGTGTGTGCAAACCTGGTCAAGAACTACAGGAAACGTTTGACCTCTGTAATTGCAAACAAAGGCTTCTGTACCAAATATTAACACTGATTTTCTCAGGTGTTCAAATACTTATGTTCAGCAGTGCAAGACAAACACATTCTTTAAAAATCATACAATGTGATTTCCTGAATTTTTTTTTAATTCTGTCTCTGAGTGGGAATGCACCTACAATGTGAATTTCAGACCCCTCCATGATTTCTAAGTGGGAAAACTTGCAAAATCGCAGGGTGTTCATTTACTTCTGTTCCTCACTGTATGTCTGGTATTTTACAAGGGAAAAAAAAATGGACCTTTAGTATCGCTTTAAAACTAAAAGCCAGTAAAGTGATTATAGGTACACACTATATTGGCAAGTTTGAAAGAGCATGTCTCATTACACAAGAGAAGTACATTCAAAATCCATCCTACAAGTCAGATTCACTTTTATAAACATATGTCCCCTATCAAATTATCATACATATAGGTATAACGTCTTCTACGCCAAAATCCAGGAACCTGATCTCTATGGACTATACCTCTGTGCAAACTAATATTTTGTAACTTACTTGTCCTTGCTGTCCTTCAAAATCATTTGTTAGACAGTTCCGCTGTGCTTCCACAATATTCATTCTGAAGTTACGTAAACTCCATCTCCCCCGCCGTGGTAGTTCATTGAAGCTTCCAGTCAGAATATCTGTTTGCTCGTAAATCCCGTACGGCAAGCAGATATTCTGACAGGTCTGCATGGTATCAGCGATCTACTGATCACTGGTGCAATGCTTTCCAGGCTCCTGTAGGCAAAAATAATAAATGCACTTTTTTTACCTGCAAAAAAAGTGCATTTATTATTTTTGTCTAAAAGGTAAACTTATCATTTAAGCAGTAAAAACTATCCCACCGTTGCGTCAGTGGGCAGAACTGCTGCTGAAAGTGACTCATTCAGGTGAATAGGATTGTGCTGCCACTGCAAGCCAAACCCTAGGTTCACAGTTGTAGTGCTGTATTTCCATTCAAGAAGCCGCTTCGGCTGTCAACAAACAGGCATCAAGAGGCAGCAGGATCGTGAATGCCTGCCGACCGTGCCTACAACACTCTCTAAAAATCGATTCACTGTAGATTGCTCTTCAAAGAGCGACACAGGTGCAAATCAGCCCTAAAGATGGACATAGAATACTCTTTTTTTTAATCAAAAAACAAAAAGATTCTTCCTTCCACACAAGTGAGGTTTACAGAGCAATTTCCCTGGTGAGGCATTGGGGTTTATTAAAACTGGAGAGTGCAAAATCTAGTGCAGGTGTGCACGGTAGCCAATCAGCTTCTAAATTCAGCTTGTTCAATTATGCTTTGACAGAAAAAAAATTGGAAGCCGATTGGTTTTATTCAGAGCTGCGCCAGATTTTACTCATTCCAGTATTAGTAAATCAACCACATTGCATTCTGACAGCATAGACTCTCCACTATCAGAATACACTGATCAGCATTTGCAGCCGGCTGATCAAGAAAAACATTCCTGTTTAACAGAAGTCAATTGTTAGATCGATTTCTGTTGAGTGGAAGTGGCCACACATGGATCAAAATGTAGCCAGTTCCTGCTCACTGGCCGAATTTTGATTAATCTATGACCAGCTTATAGCAGGCTGATTGAAAAAAAAACCAAACAGATTTCCCCATCCACACAAGAAAGGTGGATGGAGGAATCCATCTCACTGTGTTACTGTATTCTGACAGCAGGACTCCTCCACTGTCAGAATACACAGATCAGGATTCCCATTCAACAGAAGCTGATCGTTAGACCAACTTCTGGCGAGTGCAAAAGGCCATAGATGATTTTCAATGATTGGTACCATAGCTTGAAGACTACAACGTTCACACAGACCAAATAATATACACTGATTTGGGTTATTTTTACCAAATAAACGTAGCAGTATAAATCTTGATTCAAATTTATGAAGATAAATTACTTATTAGCAAAATGTTTAACACAAACTAAGAAAAACACACTTTTTTTCTAAATTTGCAGTCTTTTTTTATTTTATAGCGCAAAAAAAAAAATCAGTGCGGAGAGCTCTGAGAGCTGATTGGACAGAAGGGACACACTCCCTTCACACATCTTAACTTAACTTGCAGATTAACTTGAAGATTGTTTAGGAATTTGTTTGGGCAGTTTACTACCGCTTTAAGCTGGCCATACATTATACAATCTTCTTATACAATTTCCTTTAGATTTGCCCTCAACTATGTAAAGCCAGGGCTTGCCTGATTGCATACAAACTGAAAATTGTAAGATTTGACAACATATATACTTTTGGTAAACTAAAAAGAAAATTGTGTAATGTATGGCCAGCTTTAGTGTCAGGAAAATTTGTCAGAAGTAACTCATACTTATAGCATCTTACAAAATCGGTGAGATTCTAACTGATTTGAACAGTTCCATTGCCGACAATAGAGTGCAACTTGTCATGTGATTTGAAACTGTCAAATTGCATGACAAGTCGCAGCGGTGTGAACCAGGGCTCTGGATTGAGACAAGCACACTATACCGGCATATGCTTTGTTCATATTTCATGCCTGAGGTGACAGGCAGCAAGTGGTGGAGAGAGATGCTGCTGTGAAGTCTGTGGTCACAGCACAGGGGACCCCCCTTGGGAGAATCAGGGCACGTGCCCAGCTTTGCCACGGCTAGTGATGCTATTGAATGTATCTAATATTATTGTCACTAGGACATTAGGTTGCTATTGGAGATATCATCATAATATGTATGAAGATGTGAAACATTCCTAGAGTGACCATATGCACCGTGACTGAGTATATCTCCCATAGCAACCTAATGACACTAATAGTCACTGAAATCTGCAACCTTCATCACTGACAGCAGTGTTACACTGCACTACTATTTACTGATACAGAAATGTTCACATGACATCAAAAGGAAGACTTCCAATTCTATTCTAATATCAGACCTGTGGAGATGGCTCTGACTACACTGCTTTCTTGCTCTGCAGCCCCTCAGCTCTTCCTTGGATGCCGACAGGGATCCCGCTCTCTGGCAGGGAAGGATGCCCCGCCTCTCCCCATCAGCTGACTTGTCCATGCAGAGCCTTTCACAGCAGGCACAGAGAGAGCAGGAAGGGCGGAAGCAAGCAATGGATAGAGGGGGGAAGGGCGGAAGTGGGCTGACACCTGCTCAGTATGATTGGGAGGCTCAAGGGACATACAGAAATAGACAGACTGTATGTATGTATATATATATATCGCTATTGTACAGCGCTGAGCAAACCCTTTGGCGCTATATAAATACTGTATAATAATAATATATATATATATATATATATATATATATATAGTCTTTATTCCGTCCTAGATTGTAAGCTCGAAAGAGCAGGGCCCTCAATCCCCTCATGTTTTGCATTGTATTGGTATTGTTCTGTCACATGTTCTGTCCCCCTCTGTAATGTACAGCGCTG